CAACTATATCTAAATCATAGGGTTTCTGGCCTAGTCGACATTAGTCCACGTGCTCATAAGATGCCATTCAAATTGAAAATTCCAATTCTAGTAAGACTAACTGTCGAATATTGACTCTTATATATGAACTAGTAAATATTAAATGATAATACATATTGAATCTAATATGATTCTAGTTACTAGCATGAAAAAGTGCTTGCTCATACTCAAGCTGAGGCGAGAAGGCAACCAAGTTCTGCTTACAAGTTACTTGTAGTTCTTTAACAACATTCGTCTTTTTGTAATGGTGTAGTATTAAATTTAATAGACATGTGACGTCACCATCAGAGTAAACTTTGTTTGTTTTTTTAATTTTGTGCAAAGTTACACGAGGGCTATCTGCGCTAGCCGTCCCTAATTTAGCAGTGTAAGACTAGAGGGAAGGCAGCTGGTCATCACCACCCACCGCCAACACTTGGGCTACTCTTTTACCAATGAATAGTGCAATTGACCGTCACATTATAATGCCCCCCACGGCTGAAAGGGCGAGCATGTTTGGTGCGATGGGGATTCGAACCCGCAGATTGCGAGTCGAGCGCCCTAACCATCTGGCCATGCCGGGCCTATCATTTATGGATAATAATTCATATCTTGTTTATCACAATTTTCTGTTTGTATTAAAGGTTTCACTCCTTCATTGTCACAGCATGTGGTTTGAACAATTGGTAATTAAACACAGCTTTGAAGACAGCTATAGGCAAAATTCAAATATGATTGGACAGTACAAATTATAAACTGTTTATTTCAATGTAGAATATACAAAATGGCTTGAGCAGCAATGTAAAGATCTGGGGATTTTTTATGTACATTTTTTTATTCCTGAAAATGTTTTCGTTTTAAATTAAATCTGTTTGAAAGCTACAGAAATTTTCTTTTATGACATAACATCAGGCAGACCGAGGATTAACAGGTATGGTAGGCAACGGCAAAATATTCCGGTGATGTAAATCCTTATTTATTGAGTATTACTGTTAAGTATTTATCGAACATATACTATATTTATTAGATATAAATTGATCTTGACCAGAAACATTGAGGCCAGAAAGATACCCAACGTGACAAAGGTAACAGTGATGTCACAATGAAAGGTGACGACCTAGGTCACCAATAAATATTGTTGTTTTTTTTCAACTTTTGCTGTGTTTCTTATGATTTATAACAGTGGTTCTCAAACTTTTTTGTCCACGTACCACTTCAGCAGGGCAAAAGGCCCCACCGACCACCTACCCCAATAAAGTTGAAACTAATGGGAGATATAAAGTGGAATTCTGTGATATGCAATAAAAAAATTAACATTTTTAAATCAAAGAAAGTATTTTTAATGTTTTTTTGTTTCAAAACACTGTCTCACAACAAAACTTTAGAAATTTCATAACTTTGAAAAAATGATAGAAACACAAGATCAAATTTAATTAGTTCTTTTAAGTTAAAACTAGATAATACTTATTTAGTTGGTACTATGGTTTGAGCAATTTGGTTAAGTATTTTCAAAGTGAGAAATAGATATGAAGGGGTATCAGCTCTAGTCCCGGAAAGGTCAAAAACAACTTTCTCTTTCTCAACAGAAAAAAAAACACCAGGAAAAGGACTAAAGATTTCTTCATATCAGTGTTTGACTTTCATCTGTTAGATTCATATGTGTATCAAAAGAACATTTATCCTGCAAATAAAAAGCTGAAACTCATAAAATTTACTTGACAACTCGGGAATAGCTTGCTATTACATTATTACGAAGCATATGAAAATAGTTTATTAACAGGAATACACTATCATGTAGACTACTATACTAACATATACTATTATAAAAAGACAGAAAAAATTAGTGTCATAGGAACATACGAGTGAGAATATATTATTAAATAAAAACACACCAATAATAACATTAAAAAATTATAAAAACATTATTATAAAAAATATATCTATACATAACACAAATTCAGAAATAGAGGAATATACATAAAAGTTATTAGAGGAATAGAAAAACAAATCACTATTACAAACATGTACACGGGGTCAATCATATTTTCTTAAACAATCTGGTACTATATCGATCCTCTCAAAAAACCCACTTAAACTTCAGATATTGTTATCAAACTATGAAACTCAACACTTCAAGTTAACTGAGTAATATACAATGTTGAAAAAAAGCCTCTTGATTTCTTAAAAAAAGTCAGTGTAACATATCAACATCACTTACATGTAACAAACCTACATCAACAGCTTAAATCATAATTAGGTATATTTCTATGCTGCTTGGTGACACATTTCAAGCTGTAACATGAGTAAAAGTAACCACACAAAACATAAAAAAACTGATACCCCAAAAACTTTATAGATTAAACCTTCATTTTATAATCACTCACCGGATGCAAGATTAAAGCTGCGACCTTTGACTCCTGATTCTTTTGGTGAAGGCTGCCACCAATTAATTAGACTTCCTACTATTGGAACATATTTCAGTACACCCTGAAAAACCAAGAAAATCTTTATTAATCCAACTATTGGAATATACTTCAGTGCACTCTAGAAAACCAAAAATAACCAGAAAAATCTTTATTAATCCAACTATTGGAACATACTTCAGTACACTCTAGAAAACCAAAAATAACCA